TTGATGTAATAATGGATAGATATTTAAGAAATTATTGGGCTGAGAAAACGCAAAAGGGAACAAAATCCTTCTTTATCCTACGAACTTGGAACTCATTCTTTCAAAATACAGTGGATGCTGTATGTGAAACCGGGTGTGCAAAATTTCATCAGGTGAAGTCATACAGACCAGATTTATTGATTACTGAGAAAAATGGTGTTCTAGGTGCGACTTCTTAATCTGTGTTTCCCGTAATTGCTACCTAGGGAAGCATTACTGTGGAGAGACCACTCTATACCCAGGTGTTTCCTTCTGATTCTCTGCTACTGAACAATGTAAGAAGTGGGACAGTGCACCACTATGCTTTTCTCTGTTCCTGGGTCACACATCCATTCAGGTTTCATCATTTCAGTGAAACCTGAATGAATGTGAGACAGATCTGCTCCCTGGCAGATAGCTATGTCCACCTAAGGCATCAAGTTTAGCCTTCCAGCACCACATTCAGGCACCTCTTGGCCTTTCCAGACAGAAAGGCTTGGACCCACCCAACTATAAAGTCAGCTTTGTACACCTGATTCTATACAAATTTATGCATTTGTTATGGGACAGAAACAAATTTTCTTAGCAGGAACCATCTTTACGGTACAGGTGATCTGTCTGCTTAGGTAGCACCAGACTTAATCTGAATTCAGAGAAGTTGAGATAAAAGGATTACACTCTAGCAACACATTATTGGCTAATACATGTGGTGTTTAGGGAGGTAGAGCATCACAGCTAACTTTTTTTTGGTCATTAAATGACTCTGTATTGCTTTTAAGTACTATTGTATGGATATTAAAGTAATAATTTCCTGACTTACATTTCATCTGTATCTCCAATACATCTTTATGAAGATACAACATCAACGTACGTGGTGTTGTATACATAATAGATACAGTTTATTTTCTTAGCTCTTCAGCAATAACAATAAAATGCTCTTACTGACTCCAAATGTGTCTTAATAGGTCTTTAGAATGTTTTTACTGCTTTGTTTCCCCCACTAAATTATTGTAAAATTGTTATGGGTAAAATTATATATGTTCTTGTATGTGTTATATTGCAGAAGACATTTTCATGTGCAGTAGGAAGAAAAACATAGTCTGCCTTTGATCTAAAGGAAACATGAAGGTCTTAAAGAGAGACAAAAGAAGCATATTGATGCCAAAGTCCTGCTGCTTTCAAGACATTAATATCATCTTAATACGCTGAAGGAATGAACTCAGTTAATAAAGTAATTCCTACAGAAGATAGAAAAGATGTTTCATCAGTGTGATCTTGATGTTTTTCTTTGACTCTCCGTTTAGGAGGATCATTGACTTCCATTGTAATTCCACTGGCATCTTTCATAAATATTTTCCCCCGTGAAAGGAGAGTCATCAGTATCGTATAACTATAGTTACCTTCCATAATCAATAATATTATTAGGCTATGGGAACTTACTATGACCTTTAATGCTGTTATAGTGATTTAATGTAGAGTCTTTCATATCAGGAAAACCAACCATAAACTGCAGAATACATTCTTGATTATGAATCCAAAATAATGTAACAACTGATAGTTAACTTTTATCCTTTCAAGTAACTTAGGAAGGATTTGAAAATTTACAGATGCTAGCCCATGTGTTTTAGCAGACTCATAGAGTCACAGAATCATAGAATGTTTAGGGTTGGAAAGGACCTTAGTATCACCTAGTTCTTAATGCGATTGTTGTTATTTTACTGTGGTGCTAATCTCCAGATATATTTTTAATTCAGGAAACAAATGCTCTACTCTTGCCTTCCAACTGCATGCTAAATCTGTATGAAAATCTATCCCAGATTACTGTGTTAACCAACTACATATACAAATTCAGTATGCTATATATTTATCCCTGTACGTTGATGTTTGCTTTGTTTCACCTTTCCCTCAACAAATAAGTTCAGAAATAGGCTTCACTCACAGGGGTTTGGGAACAACCAACGTCAAACAGAAATCCATAAAGTTGCCTTTTACTGTAATTGTTTCATGTTCCCAGTACTCCCAGGATTATTTTGGTTATACATTTCTCTTAGTCATAAATTTGATGATTCTACCACACCGATTTACTCTAAAAAAATTAATGGAATCTCTTGAAAATTCTCAGCTGTGAGCCATAGCTCTCTGAACTGCTGTTTAACTTTCTAAGTGTTATAAATGCATTTCCCTAGCTGCTCCATGGGGAAGTCATCTCATAGCAAAGTGTCATTTTCCAGTGGACTGCTGGCGTAGAGTAATATGAAGTGGAAATAGTAAATACTTGTAAGATTTGCAGTACAAGAATCACAGAATGCCACCCCATTTATGAGAAACATTCAAATAGTAACTCTGTGTATTAAGAAAATCCTGTCCTGAATGTGTGATGTGTCAGACAGGTTCAGAGCTACATAACCTGCTGATATAATCTCACAAATATAAATACAGTAACTTTGTGGACAGCTTTTTGGACAATAAAAAGATATAGGAAAAATATGTATAAGAGTGACCCAAGGCACCAAAGAATATTCTGAATCTTAAAATTTAAATTAATAATACTGCAGTGTTGCATACCTCTATGTATAAACAGCAGGCAAAAAATACATACTTTTTTTTCATCTATACCTCATCAGATACTTAATGGAATGCCGTTAAAATGCTTCAAATAGCAGGTGCTTCAAATATTAATTTGTAATTGCTTCAAATATTAATTTGTAATTGCTTCAAATATTGTGTTTCTGAGCATTATGCTGCTTGTGTCAATTATCTGATTACAGTGTTTACAGTTTTCTGTGTTTACAATTTTCTCATCATACTGGTTGGGAGAATTGTTTACCTAGCTCTCTGTAAAACCTTTGAATTGTGACTTCCAGAGTGATAAAAATTGTGGAACGGAGGAGACTTCTTACAAATGGTAAATGTACAAATGAACACAGACACACACATATATGCTTTGTGTGTTATAAGGACCACATGTCTTTCTGCACACCTATGCAGAAAAATTTAATGATTTTCATTTTTCTATGAGGGAGTTTAAGCATCTTTAATTTCTGTTACTGAGAAAAAAGAGTTAACGTGTGTATGTGAGAACATAGATATCAAAGGGTGAATACTGTTTATAGCAGGAGGCATTAAATTCTCATCACCTAGTTGTCATCCCTTCTGACTATACACATTTTGAAGATGGTTAAGGTAATAAGTCTGTGAAGGATTGATTGTATTTTGCTGAATGTTGCCTCCAAATGTGAATTGACACAAAAATAGGCAGTTAAGCTGGAAAAGCATTGCATTTCTTCTCTCCAAATCTGAAATGGAGACTTCTGAAAGGGAGATTCAGAAGAGTGTATGATCTCTTGGAAGAGAAAATTCTACTTGTTTTTACAAAGTAGAAAAGCAAAAAATATTAGTTATTATATGGCTGAAGATTTCTGGTAGTGCTGCATAGAGGCTGCACTACTAGACCTTACTTTAAGACTGCCTGGGGCAGCAAGGATTGTGGTCCATATCAAAGGTGTTAAGGGTGAGAGCAGTATACATTTATGCTGATCTGAGATAACCAGTGTAAAGAAATTGAAATTCTTTTTTTCCACTGTTCAAGATGGAGAATTGTGTTCTTTAATGCTTTCAAAGGTGGGTTTCCTCTTCTCTACTGTATGTGAGCTAGGACAGGCATGGGGACTAGCGGGAGGAATAGGAAAAAGACAGTTCCATGTTCTCCCTTGTATTTCATGGAAAGTACACCTCTCTGCAGTGCAAATAGCCTTAGGAGAAACTGTGAGCTTTCTAAGGCAGTGAAATTAGTGTGTGACAGCTGTAAAGCTGTATCATATTCACTAAGGAAAAAATAAAGAAACAAGTTGTTATGCTGATTTCTAATTATCTTGAATTTTTCAAGGCTCTGCTAGTCATAAGCGCTGTTGGAGGCAGGCATATACTAATGACTGCAAGCTTTGCGTTTCTACAGTTTCTTGTTATGTATCTGTGATATTTTAAGCTGTAAATGTTTAAATATGTTCATGCTCAAAAAAATTCTCTACTTATTATTTATAATAGCTTGGTTTTCATAGAAGTTTCAAGTACCTGCTGGTGGGATTACTCAAGAGCATTTTAAAACTTTGTAATGCATACTTAAGACTGTAAAAGTTGTTTCTATTGCAGCTTTCTGCTATTATCACATCATTATTTCAGTATGTACATTTAGGTGGGGGGATGTGGAAATACGTACAAAACAAATGTTGCTTTGGAATACATTGCCTGTATAAATATGTATTCTTCAGTTTTTCTAATGCTGCAAGTGTGCATCTGTCATGAAATTTTAAAACAACTCCATGAGGTTCTTTTTCTCTCTTATAATGTTTCTGTATTTAGATAAGTTGCTTCATTCCACCAGTATTTCCTCTGTCAGATGTAGTATCTGAAGAGAAGCTTCCTCCTTTTTTGGTGAACACTGTGCAGTCGATGTTCTCTCCAATGAAAAAAGCAGACTGATGGCTGCAGTAAGCAAGATGGTAGGGATTGAAGGTGGTTCTTAGTAGCTTTGTATGCAGTAACCAAACAGCCAGACTTTATTAAAAAGGTGAAATTCAATAAAGGTAAATAGAATTCAGTAATCTATGAAGTAAACTTTACATTTGACTTTCTAAAGGATGTCATAAAAACTTAATTATCATTGTAAATTAAGGTGATGTTTTGCTACTGACAAGGGTCATAAATGCCTTTCTCATTAGCAGTTCCTATTTTCATAGAAATCTGCCATAATTTGTAATTTACTGTGGCACAGTTTCTTGAGAATATTTCATTAATACATGCATCACATTTTCATTGTCTGAGTGCTGCAGGAATTTATTAGTGTTCCTATTGTCGCATCTCTACACAGAGTATTTGTTGCTGTGATAACCTAAAAAAGATGCTGTCTTTTTGTATCAACACAGTACCATTCACTTCACTGAAGTGGTACCATTTTACAACAGCTATTATTATTATTTACATACCAGTGATGAGGAAAAGCCTTACACAAGGGTGGAGCTCTGTTGGACTTTGCAACTACCCATGCATTATTTAACAATTATTAGTGTGGGGAAATCACTGAGGGAAGGAATTAGAGAAAACTGAGGTCTAACAGAAGTTGTAGTATTATAGAAATGTTAGGAATGAAATACTGTAGCCACTTTCAGGACGGTTGGTATGGACAGGATCTACTCCACTATGGCTCCCTAGGCAACACAACCTGCTATCGCAGAGGAGCAATGGAGGGTGGAGCGGGGTGGAGACACTGCTGCCAGGCTCTGTACTCCCTGCAGGATGGGGAATTTGATGGTACCATGCAGCTGATAAGCCACATGGCAGCTGTCAAATGGGAAATATAAGAGATGTCCATTGCTGAGCCAACTGTGGTGAAATTGCTTTCCTTAGGTGAACCTTGCTCATGATAATCTCACTATAACAGTAACACGTACCTCCACCCCAAAGTTATCTGCCTCCAAGGTACAACTACCCCTCACCAAGCATGCGCTTTATATTTTTTATCTGCTATATCTTTAAATGAGAAGAGAATTTTACACCAATGAGTAATAAAAGAATGTATGACTAGAGTCACTCAAGATCCACCTGAGAGCAAATAAAAATATAAAAGTGAATGAGAGGTGAGGGAGATAGACTCCATCATAACTTCTGGGATCAGTCGGTGGGCTGTCTTCTCCCCTATAGGGATGCCTGTTGGGTAAGAATTTTATCTTATGCACGTTAAATAACTAATGCTAGCTGTTATTAGTGATTATAGTCTGGTTGTGTATCACTTCAAGCTTGTTTTTGCAGACAGTATCTATCACTGGCAGTCATGAACCTTAATCTGTCATGATTTTCTATTAACAGTGTTATTCCATAAACTGTTAGTATTAGTCCTTTGTGGGTGCTAGCAGTTGCCTGCAACAGGTAACACATTCAAAGTGGGAAGACCTGCTTAGGGGTCCTCCTTATGATGTTGGTGCGTTTCCCTGAACAATTCAGTCAATTCACCCTCTGATCCAGCAGGACTGTTCAGTGAAGAGTCCCTGTAATGGGATGCTGACAGACTGATCAGGCATAAGGGTCTTGGCTTTCCTGGGGCACTGATAGCTCAAACACTAGAAGTAGAGAAAATCTCTCTCTTCTTCCCACCCGCCTCCCTTCACATGACAATTAGGTAAATGAGACCTGCAGTAATAATGCTAAAATGACTAGCATTGCATCTATGATCAAGGGTAAAGGTTGTATAAATTAATTTTTGTTTTCAAGCAGACTGCCCTAATACTATCTCCAAATTAGGTTAGGCTGGCTCTCCAGTGTAGAACACTCTACTGATTTATTCTTGTACGTTTGTCCTTGGCTACTGAGATCCAGAGTACATCATCATTACAGGTGTAAGAATTTGCATAGGTAAGGACCACAAAATCATTGCCACATGAGTTTGTCAAGGTTGCTTTACTGTAGGCAGTGACAATGATGTTATATGTTCTCTCAGCTACTGCCCTAATTCTTAATTTATTTATTAGTCATCTGTGATTATTCTGAGGACACTGTCCTGACAGCTTTTCTTATAGGTGGCCAAAAGTTTACATTCAAAACTTCTTTGCTTCTTACTGGCTAATGACAGTGGTGAAAAATCTTTTGGCTCTTGCAATTGCTAAGCAGCCGTTGGTCATTTTGTCTCCCCTTGGGAAGAGAACCTTCTGTCTCACCCTGAAGACCTGTACTTGCCTTCTGATGTTACTCTTGTCAGAACTTCTTTCATCGTTTTGTGACAAAATTTGGTTTCAATCCAAGTAGCTTGTGTTTTATCTGTCTTACTCCTTTTTATTACCTAGCATACTCATCTTGTTGATGTGTATCATTACATTCCCACTTCAGCTTTTATTTTCACCCTTCTTGAGGAGGCATGTCTCTATCAACTGTGATTGCTCGTGCTTGCTGTTTCTGGTGTGTGTAGCATCTGATTTCATGTTGTAGTTCTTTCACCACGTAGATGTGCCTCCTTTATGGCACTAGGGTACAAACTATACTAGTTGCTTCTCACTGACCTTGATGGCAAACAGCAACTCTAGGCTAAATGAACTTAATTAGTTTGTCAGCCTTGAACTGCTGCCTTTCATGTCTCTGGGCAAGTCTTTATGGCAGATGAAGGAACTAGAACGTATTGGGGAAGACAGAAAAAAGAATGGTGATACTGTATAGGCTGTAGCAGGGAGCCCTGGAGATAGGTCAAAATGACACAGAAAGGGGAAAGCACTGCTAGATGAATGATTGATTTGTCAGCATCCCTTGCAGATCTAAATTAATTTAACATTAATAACTTCTGTGATTAGCATTTAACCAATGCTCACAAATAGCATGTCTAGAAAACTAATGTGTTTTGGATTATGGTTTTTTTGGAAAAAGAAGTATTAAAATGCTTATTATTCATGGTTTGGGGGTGGGGGGGGGCTCAAGGAAATACAGAGATTGACCATTCAAGTGTAGTACAAAATAATTTTAGTCCTGCTTCAAGTCCCTGTGTCAGTGAATTGCCTAAATGCCCATGTTGGAGTCATATTGAAATAAGATTTAAACGTTATTATTGTCTTACTGTTTCAGGGTATAAATGCAAATGCCAAATGAACTTTCACAGCACATGCTTGCATGTTGTCACAATATCTTAATACAGAATGATTCGTGCTCAACTTTTCACTCTCAGCCTCCTGGTAATGTGTATTCTGGAACCATTAAAGTGATCAATAATTTTGATGCCAATGTACACTGCTTTTGTGAATAGATTGGTCAGCTATGTCACATATTTATTAAATAATACAATAATCATTTCATTTGCAATTTTTTATGCTGTTTTATTAGCCACATAAATTGTAGTTCAGTGGGTTCCTGGGTACTGTAGGAGCTGGGTGTAAATGTGGGTGAGCAGTCGGTGTTGTTCCTTTAAACATACACAGCTTGAAAAGCAGATGGAATTGTGTTCTCATGATGTTTAAGAACTTTTAGAGCACTGCATATCAGCAGCATCTGGAGACCAATTACTGAAGAAGCTCCATAGGGGTCCTGCCTCAGGGTTTTTAGATGGATGAATAATATATAAACTCTATAGTTTCCCACAGAGAGCAACTGGAGCAGTATCAGAAGGAAAAAAGCCTTTTAGGAGTTGAACTGAAAATGAAGTAACAGCACAGGATTTAAAATGAAGCAGTTTTGCTTTTACATACAGAATTGAACATAGTATATTGGTTAAATTCTGATTTCTCTTTTTTTCTTTTCTCTTTTTTTTTCCTTTTTTTTTTTCCTTGGCTTTATCCTTTCAGAATCTTGCTTTTCCTGACTTTGCACATGTCTATTTGGAAGCTTTAAACAAAATGCTATGAGGCTTATTCAATTATTCCAAGAACTAGGATACTCAATTTCCTTTTAAAAAAGCAGTGGAAATGATCTTTAATATGTGCATTATTCATTTTACAACACAGGTTCTGCATTACAGTACTTAAACTGTAATCAGATTTTATCTCACCTGTCATTGTGGCTGGTTCTGGGTTTACTCTGCTTTTTACAACTAGAAACAGATTGCAAAATGGTGTATCTCATACTATTCAAAACCTTCTTTCAACTTGTTATATTCCTTCACATTCCTTATCATTGTTCTCTGTTTCAGTTTACTTGAAAACAAAACACATTTAAAAAGGAAATAGAAATATCGGAATTGGAGATACTTAGCTATGGGACGAAATTTCTTTTGCTGAATTATAACAGAAAAGCTTCTCTGCTGGTTCATTGCAATACAGATGCAAGTGGGAAGTTCACTGAGTGCACATTTCAAAGCTGAAGAATGCATTATCTGGAGAACACTATCGAGACCTATAAAGAGAAAAACAAACAAGAGTGTTTGATCAGGACACCAGAATCTCCTAAAGAAAATCAAAATTGAAGGGAAAAAGGTAGCAGCAGAGTGGAATTCCAGAAAGAAAAGGATCAGAATGTATGTGGAAACTACATGTTGTAATAACATTGATCAATTTGATACTCAGAGCTTCAGAGGAAAATAATGCAGTTTGCCCTCTAAGAAAATAAAGTGGTGTGTTATTAATTAAATAATTATTGGCATGCAGTGGAATGCTAGAGCCACAATAGAAGACAAGGCATAGTTGTGCTAGACTGAGTATCAAACTATATCGAAAGCATGTCAATTATCCTGCTTTTATGCATGAGAACCTACCTAAGTAATAAAGGGAAAGAAAAGCAGTTGCCTAGACTTAGTATCAAACTAAACTGACCTGGCTAATATAGTAGAACTCAAGTTGCACTTTAATGAAATTAGAACAGTGCCTTGGCTTTGCCTGTTCCAAAACCTGTATCCTTATCTGAATTTTCGCAACTTGTTCACATGCACCATTGCTGTCTAGGGTTGGGATTCCATTTGTGATGATACTTGGAAAAGTCATTCATCATCTCTCCTGCAATTCTTTGTTTTTTCTTTCCTCCATTTTCATTCATGAGCACTGTGTGGTTAGTGGTGCCTAACTGTCCTTTGTCTGGTCATAGTCAGTGCCCTGTGCCACTGCTTCTTTATGAAAACACTATCAGTAAGGTTATTGACCTTGAAGCTTAAAAGTGGCTAATGCTAACCTTTGTGCCTTCAAGTTTACTGTGTGAGTTTAAAAGGCAGGGAAAAGGTTTGGTTGGTCACAGCAATAGAAATGAACAGAGATTCAGAGTGTGTAGAGGAAGTCAAAGTAGCAAGGGAAATAAATTATGGTAAATGTTGGAGCAGGCTACTGAAAACTGGTGGAAAAAAGAAAATAAGGCTTCTTTCTTTTTAAATTCACAGTCCCATTACAAATACAGCCTCAGGTGCATGAATCAGTCTCCCTCTTTTTGTTTTAAGTGTATTCTTCAGCTCTTAGTCCTGAGTGTACAATATTTATTGACACTCAGCTACGGGAGCTACTGCAAGCTGGCCAGGGCATCTAACGTGATTCAGGAAAAAATAAAGGACCAACAAAGTCATTGTACAGTTAATCATGGTAGCCCTCATTATGAGGAAAAAAACTGTGAGGGAATTTGGGTAGTGCAGATGTTGTGGTGTTGTTGGGTTATGTTGTTTTGTGGTGGGTTTTTCTAACTGAGAAAACTGAAGGCTTCAAAATCAAACTATCAGAGTTTGATTTATGTGGAAATAGAATCCCTTGGTAAGTTCTAATACCCCCCTGGAACATGCAGGTGAGCTGAATCTAAA